TCAATTAAAAAAAAGTGAAAACAGGTTTTTGGAGTGTTTTGTTAATTAAAAATAAAAGACTGAAATATCCCATTTACATAAGCATTCACACCCTTTGTTAAGACACTTGCAATTAAGCCCTGGTGCATCCTACTCCTCTCCATGGTACCACACGATTAGAGTCCCTCTTTTGATTTGGAACCACCAACAGTCTTCATAGATCTGACCACACAGCCAGATCTATGTAAAGGGGGAGGAAGGACTTTGGTCAGACAGGAAGCCATGAACTCACTATGAATGAGATCCATGATGAGTTTCTTTATGCAGATGGGAGAACCTTTCAGAAGCACATCTACAAGACCAATTTCTGCAGCACTGAAAGTGGTAGCCTCCATCATTCTCACTCTCAAATCTTTTGATTTGGAACCACCAACAGTCTTCATAGATCTGACCACACAGCCAGATCTATGTAAAGGGGGAGGAAGGACTTTGGTCAGACAGGAAGCCATGAACTCACTATGAATGAGATCCATGATGAGTTTCTTTATGCAGATGGGAGAACCTTTCAGAAGCACAACCATCAGCACTCCACCAATCAGGCCTCTATGGTAGAGTTGCCAGACAGAAGCAATTCCTCACTAAATGGCACATGACAGCCCACTGAGAGTTTGCCAAAAGGCACCTGAAGGACTCTCAGACCATGAGAAGCAAAACCCCCTGGTCTGACCAAACAAAGATGAACTATTTGGCCACAATTCCCAGCGACATGTGGGGGGGGAAACCAGGCACTGGACATCATCTCACTAACACCATCTCTACAGTCAAACACAGCAGTGGCAGCATCATGCTGTGGGGATCTTTTTCTGCATCCGAGACTGAGAGACTAGTCAGGATAAATAAACACAGGAGTGGCTCTGTGAAAGTCCTGGAGTGGACCAGCCAGAGTCCAGACCTGAAGCCAATAGAGCATCTCTGAAAATGGCTGTGCACCAGCGCTCCCTATCCAGCCTGGTTGACCTTTAACAATTCTACCAAGAAGAACAGAAGAAAATTCCAAAAGAAATGGTACCAAGCTTGTAGCTTCATTCTCAAGAAGACTTCAGACTGTCATTGCTTTAACCAAGTACCAAGTGAAGGGTCTGAATACTTATGTAAATGGGATATTTACTCTTATTTTTAATACATTTAGAAAACACTCAAAAAACCTGTTTTCACTTTATCATTGTAGAGCATTCTGTGTAGATTGATAAGAAAAAATGTACTGAATCCATTTTAAGTCTGAAACATAAAATGTGGAAAACTTGAAAGGGTCTGAAAACCTTCTGTACCGACTGTATGATGGCTATCTGATTAAGGACAGCTGGAGGTCACAAAGGTAGAGCCACTTTCAAATGACAACATGAAAATACAACCAATGAAAAGTTCAAACTTTCCATCAGTTGTATTTTTGCACTCACTTGGGTAATAGTTTATGAAGCTGCTAGTGCTGCTTCAGTTAGAAACATAACAAACCACAACCCCATTGGACTGTGCACAGTACTGTACTAATATTAGTTCACAATGTCCTGAAAACACAGAGTCCAGACTCTATAAAGGTACTTGTTACTAAATAAGAGAACAGCAGATGCCTTGTCTTTGTCGTTTGTTAGTGCATTCTCTTACCTATCATGGATCAAAGAATCATGTTTACATGCATGCTAATAGTCACACAAATAACTCTTCTTCTTCTTTCGGCTGTTCCCGTTAGGGTCGTCTGTTTCCACCTAACTCTACTCTCGGCATCCTCTACTCTCACCCCAATTAACTTCATGTCCTCTTTTAGCACATCCATATATCTCCTCTTTGGCCTTCCTCTTGACCTCTTGCCTGGCAGCTCCATCTCCAACATCCTTCTACCAATATAACCACTATCCCTCCTCTGCACATGTCCAAACCATCTCAATCTGGCCTCTCTGACCTTGTCCCCAAAACAGCCGACCTGAGCTGTCCCTCTGATGTGCTCATTCCTAATCCTGTCCATTCTGGTCACTACTAAAGAGAACCTCAACATCCTCATCTCTGCTACCTCCATCTCTGCCTCTCGTCTTTTCCTCACTGCTACAGTCTCTAACCCATACAGCATAGCTGGTCTCGGGTTAGAAACTCACAAGAGTCACATAAATAACTGCATGCCTAATAAAGGCTTAGATAAAAATAGGAATTATGTCAGTTCAATGATTTTTTCTTATGTGCAACTCTTTGGATATTTACTAAACCTGTCACACATTAGAGACAGGTGCTGAAAATATCAAGGCATCGCATTTTATTATTTTATTTTATTTAGTAGCGTATTTACCAACACCAATGATGACCACAGCTGTGTTAATCTGAATACACCTCTGCTTCGGATCTGCTGCCTGACGCATGGACTAAAAGGAAGTGTATAAGAAAGTCTAAGTCTACAGCAATCAAAACTTTATATGGTTCAAGAAATCACAAATAATAACTAAGCAAATATCCTCCAAAGTGTACATATTATTAAGCACAGAGGTTTTATTCCTAGAAACCTTTGCACATACTGCCTCATTCAACTAGAAAGAAGAACATAAAGAAGACAAAAACGTAAACATCAGTTAGGTTTGAAGAGCTTGGGCAGTTAGTCTGTTATGTGCAGTGCTGAGCCGAATTACTGTAAGCCAGGTTAGGAATCAGGAACTAATGCAGGGGAGTGTGAGAAACTGAGGTGATAGACCCGTGGCTACAGAAAGAGCAAGTGGCCTGCGGTGACAGCAAGAGGCAAAGGGGGATCATTTCAGGCTGTCATGTGCAGACTGGCTGCCAAATCTGTCTGTCTACCAGGCAGGCAACATGCTCCAAGCTGCTTTTACTTGTGCTGCTCGTGTCAAATGAAGACAGCTGTCTAACCTGAAGTACTGTACATGCACTTTTGCAAGTCCACAAATAGTATACACCTTGTCATACTGCAGTACATAAGCTGGCATACAGTCGTTTGGTTCAGCATGGCACACACATACGGAACAGTAACAATAAAAATCGGCTACATCAACTTAGAGGACCTACATCATACACTAGATCTGTGTTGATAAGGATAAGGTCAGATGTCTGATTATTCAGTGCACATCACTGACACCTGGAGCAGAGTAGGTAATAAGGGCTCCCAAGAAGAGGATGTCAATCGCACAGAAGCAGCCAATACAGGTGAAGAGAGCAAAACATAGCAATCACAGACAAAACTTAGATGTGCAAGTGTTGTGATCTCATCCCTCTGACTGACTTTCAACACTCTTGAGGGATTTTACTTTACCCAAATACAAGAGAGACCCTTCCTTGAACCTTAGAAAAAGCATCACCTTTTACTGCAAAGTGAGGACTGAGAGCTCAGGGTTCTGGGTGGAGGTGGAGTTGGTGGGTTTACAAACAGTCAAACCATCAGACCAGCCAGCACCTTTCAGGTCTGTCTGCAACTTTGAGGGAGGGAGAGATGGAAGCGAGGGGAGGATGCCATATTCCTGTCAGTGGCAAAATACATCCCCGGTGGGAGTAAAATGGACAGGATCTCAGCACGACAGGAAACAATTTTGGTGAGATCTAGAAAGCAGAGGAGGGGGGAGTAACAGAGTTGATCTGGGAAAGGGGCAATGAAGGGTGGCCATTGGTCAGGATAGAGCTGGCCTGCCAACTACATGTGAATGGCAACGTTTGTGCTGAGAACTGGTAGGAAGAGAAGGGAGAGAAGTTGTATTTCTGGAGCAAGCCTGCAGTTAGATAGGGGGGCACAGGGGTAAATTAACACTACACAATGTTTGGGTAGTGATATACGCCAAGCGTGATCTCCAGCCTCAGGCTACTTCAGTGCATGCATGTCAGTTTGTGTGTTTTTGTTCGTCTGTGAGTGTGTGTTCACGATTAGCACAGGGTTATGTTTGAAAACTAAACATTTATCCTGTAAGTTTGCCATGACTGATCCTGAAACTTGATGGACAAGTCTCAAGTAGTCACTGGATCAGATCCTCTGTGCGTTCACTGGCTGCTGCCCCAGCAGTCTGAGAGGGGAGATGGATCAGCCCACTGGAGTACTGTGCACATTAACTGGCATTTTTGTTTACATTTTTAAGCAAGGTCATGGATTAAATATATTCACTGACAGAGCAAAGGAATAACAAACTATTACTGAGACTTAAGGCAATGGGTCTCCAACTAGAAATGAACTTCACTGTCTGAAAATAACAAGTCTGAAGTTCCCGTGGATCTCACAGAAGGATAAACAGTACGGCAGACAAATTATGCATGGTAATAGTTGTTCTTGGTACAAAGCAAAAAGCTGCACTATTGACATTCACTAGTTCTATCTTGTTAATTTTCCCCTCACAGAATACCACAGGGATGAGGTTTTATTGTAGGTCATCCTGGAAAATAATCTTCACAGGTAAACACCACTTTTATGATGTTTGAAGCCCAAATATGATTGCCAGAAGTAAAAACCTATTGTTAGGCTATAAACTACAGCACAGTCCCATGACTTCAGCGTCACCACCGCGGCTTCCAACTTGTAATTTGATTTAACATACTTACCTGTTCTACAAAATCCCTTCGTCTTAGTGTGACCCGATCTAGCTAGTGATCACGGCTGTGCCAGTTAGAATAGTGAGCGAGTTCAAATACAGCAAGGCTGTAAAGGCAGGCTAGTGAACAGATGAGTCTCAGTGTTCGGTGTGATGATGTTTAATGTGGTCTCATTTAGCCACTTGTTAGAAACTGCCTTTTAAGACAAATGAAGGGTATAAGAAATAACAAGTGGGGTATTTACTGATGTATTTTATATCATAGACAAAACATGAAAATGTATTGGTCATATGTTAACCACAAACCTTGTTTCATGTGTCTAACCAAAGAACCATTCAAAAAATCACAACACTAATATTTCCCCACACCTACACCCCCTTACATATTAATGAAATTATCTCAACAGTCCTTTTGTTCTCATACTTGTGCCTTCTTGCCAGAACAGTGTAGCATCTTACCTCAAACTCCGCATGTTTATGGATGTCTTCAGCCCTCTGTCGGTTGAGGATAAACTCAGCTTCATTAGCGACACGAACTAGGTGGTCCTTCATGGTGTGACTCAGCAGTCTGGGGAGACGGGAGATGATCAGCCCACTGGAGTACTGCGTGCATTAATTGGTATTTTTGTTTACATTTTTAAGCTAGGTCCATGGATGGCAGTTTACTTCAATCAGTAAAAGAAAAAAAAAATGCCTGAAGGCAGGTACTTCAGAAGATCATAAAATGAGAGAGTATTTAAAACATCTGTTTAACAGTGTGACAACCCAGAGAGAGAACAACCATGTAATATCCATAAAATGGCAAAAAGGAACCATGCAAAACAAGCAGAAAATCTAATTTGAAAACAAAACCAAACCAGATACATCCTTTAACTGTGGCACAGGTGCTAATTGATCTGTTAATGATACGCATCTGACAGAAGGGAGGATCGCTGCCCATGTTGCTACATATACAGTCTACCTTGCCCCCTCTTCTTATCAGTGTTTGTGAAACATGCATGTTCTCTGTGTGTAGGTCGACGAAACCTGGCTCCAGCCCTAAAGGTCAGGACTGTGCAAAGTGGAACAATAACAGACCAGGGGCCAGAGAGGAGGCCCAGGCTAAGGCTGACAGTGGGGTGGGGGTGCATGGGCCAAGGGATGACTGTAACCTAAGCCTGCTGTTTCAGCACAGGGCAGCAGGGGAGCAGAGGTGCTGGGGCCTCTGCAGCCTCTATGGCTCTGTACAGGTCCTGCTATCAGTGACCCAACCACTGCCCTCTTTTATGGTGCAGTGCACTCAAGACTGTAGATATGGACAAAACAGACTAAAGGCATTTTTAAAAGACTGTAAAATCAGGGCAGTAAAATACGATTCTATGAAGCCAATGTCACTGTAGGCCACCTTTCCACAAACTGTCGAAAATAAATTCTAAATTAAAGATAGCTGTTCCAAAATGAACCTAGGCTGGACAGCTTGGGCATAACATAATGACTGTTAGGGCTACAACTAACAATCATTTTCATTATTGTTAATCATCTGGTCTTAAAAATAACTCTGTAAATAGTGAAAAATACCCATTACTTTTTAGGTTGATACCCTCAAATTGCTTTTATTGTCCTTCAAACAGCCAAAAAAAAAAGTCTGTAATTAAGAAATACGTAGCATTTTTTGCTAAAACTAACAATTACTTGCATACTGTATCAAAATGGCTGCAGATAACATTTCTGTCAAAGCAATGAACTGACAAAAATCAGCTCTAATATCTGGATTTATAATAAATAAAACGGTTAGCAAGGTAGGAAATTTTGAAAACACAGAAGGACAGTGGGAAATCAAGAACAACTTCCTGTGTGTCAAAGGAAAAAGCGACCAGAGCCCCCGTTACATTCTACCTAACCCTTCTCCTTTTCCCAAATCCCTCCAGGATGAGCAGGTATTGAATGAAACCTTTAACTCCATCCTTGCTCTCCCAATCCCATCTTCACTCCACCCCAGATCAATTTTTGTGCAGAATGTTGAAGAGCCACCCTATCACAAGGGCTTTGTGGCTCTAGGGGCCTGAGGGGCTTTGATGTGAGATCCAGGAATGGTGAAAATAGAAAGTGGCTGATGGGTAGAGCTTGGAAAGATAATGAAGCAGTGCTGCTGCAAGGAGAGCAGATAGCACTAGCAGGTCACAGTTACCTACCTGCCTTCATTGACCAACTCGATGAAGGCTAGACCTGCATTCTTCTGGATGGAGTTTTGCCATTCCTGAAAGAAAACACAAACAATACCAATACATTACTAACAGAACTTTACAAAGAAAAACAATGGCAAGCCATGAAATTGTGAAATTTGCCAGATGTGAAACAGATGGGCTACATTTGGACACAGCATTACCTTTAGGATAAAAGATGTGCTTCATAGAAAAAAGCAACTGTCACTGGGTGGCAACCTAGTCCAAAAATCCTAGCCCTGTATAAAGCTATTCTTCAGTACCTCTATAATCTTTCATGCCACTACAGGCCATACAGCATCTAAAAGTATCGACCAGCTGCTTTGGTCAGCACAGGCAATATAATTAGCTGGCAAACTAGTGGAGAGGAGTGAAAGAGCAGTGTTGAGAGTGAATTTATCACAAGTAAATACCGAAATTTCCTCCTCTCTTTGACTAACGTTATGGTTCAAGGTGTCAGTCTAAACAATCCGACCACAGCTGCGTGTGACTTTAAATCCTCAACTTTGAAAGGACAACGAGTGAAGGGAAACTCAGCGGTCATCATCTTTCATGTTCTGTTCAATATTTCAACACCTTCAACACAACCGTCTAAAAGAATAATAAAGCAACAAGGTCATGGGGCCTGTCTGAACCTCACAGCGCTTTTTCCCCTTCTTCCTCTCTGGGGAGATGGAGAAATGTGCCAAAACCTCAGGTTAGAAACCCAAAAACTCTTTAAAAAAAATCATTAATCACAGCTGCAACTAGATTCCAAATTATACAGTCTTTATTAAAATCATTTTCTGATATGCATATGTGTAGCAGTGTTTTGTTCAAGCTTATAGAAATCCTCATGCCAACAACTGATTGAGTTAAGAAATTAAATGAGTCACAAAACAGTGAAGTGAACCACTGTACCGTGTATGTGTATTTTAGCAGAAACCTTCCCTCCTGTCAACCATCTCTTGAGATGATAGAGGAAACTGTGTGTTTATATAGAGACTGGCCTTTCAGAAGAGAGACCCCAAAGGGACGTGAATACGGGCTACGAGGAGGAAGGAAAGATCAGTTTACAAGAATTTCTAATCCACATCCAAACATATTTGTACATATATGATGATTTTCAAATCTATATATTGCTAATCAAGTACTAAATCAAGAGAAGCCATTATTCTGAAGTGCCTGGGCACTGTCACCCTGTAACCAACTGCACGTCACAGACAACAAGCCAACGCTTAACCCCAGTTCATGACTGCTTTTTGTCCTGAAGGTCCATATTGGCACTGACCACGTATACAATACACTCCAAATAAAGAGGGCACAGAGGGAATAAAAATCTGGCTTTGTGAGAGGGAACACCGTTTTGGAGCAGAGTACTGGCAGAGGGTTTTGCAACTGAGGCTTGCTTTGAAGGACGTGTGTGAGAATAGCCTTGGGGCCTTCTGAAGCCCAGACTGAAGGACATTAACTGTGAGTGTTAGGCTGAGACTGTGGGGATATTTCAGATTGGGCCAGACTGTACTAGATTTTAAATAAACACCACAGGAAGTAAGGCAGTAAATAGTTGTACTCTGGAGAAACAGAAAGCAGTGAGCAACAATAAATTCCCTTAATGTGATCTCTCCAAAATCCCTTGGACTACGATGGAGGAGGCCAATAGTAACCTAAAAACTTCTTCAGCAGAAATAAAAAGATTATCTCTCCAAAGGGCTTTGGCTCCAATTTAGTTCTGACAAAGGGCGTGGAGACTATTGGCATTTCAAGGACACAGACGAAGGTGATTGCAAGACTAATGGTGTCATTATGGGCCAAGATATGGCTCTTCTGGTTAAATTTAAAAAAAGCAATGACCCTGATCTGAGGGACATCTCCTGGTGACAAAAAGGACACAGCGACAGGTCAGCAATGGGATATTGGATTTTGGCTGCCCTGGTCAGCAGTGTCACAGCTTTTACGGCCGCGATAGGGGCCATGACCACAGCGCTCCTGATGAGAGGATACAAGCAGCCATTTGTGACCTCTCACCTTTAACCTGACCTTCTAACAGATGATAGAATGAAAGAGAGGGAGGACTGTCTCTTGATCCTGATCAGAAACTAGTCAGACAGATATTTTGGTTATGTTTACTGTTACTATAGAAGCTACACTTTGTTCACGTTTTTGCTTGTGAGGGTGTGTATGAATGAAAGTTTGAATCTATTCATGGAAATGTCTGTCTCAATCTGAAGTCTATAAGACAGCTCTGTTTGGTCTGCGTTCCATGATGATGGCATTGAGTCTAAACACACATGCCATGCACTTCCGCCATTAGAGCTGATTATCCATAATCAACATCTAAATATACCACTACCACTAGTGAGAAAACACAGACCTCCAGAGCAAAATCGCCCTTCAAACATCAGGCTTGCCACAACACAAGGAAAACATTTTGCAACACTGAAGAAAGAAATGTCTCAGCTCTCCGAAATAATAAATATGTCAGTTGTGCTTTTCCATGGCATCACTCATAATCACAAGTATTTGTTGATTTGAAAGGCCACAGGAAATCAACTTTAGATGAGATGACAAAAACATAAATCCTTGTGTCAAATGTCGTGGTTGTGCAGCAGAAGCAAAATGAAAAAGGCTCAAAACTACTGTCTCTCCCCCCCACCCCCCAAATATAGTTTCATTACATGTTGAGATAAGATTGCAATAAGACAAAAGATGTTCAATTAACCCAAATAAATCTGTCAGCGACTGCTTTAATGAGCAACATAGCAAAAACAGTTGGTGGCAAATCGTGAGTTAATGATTACAAAAAAGGACACACAAGGAAACGGTCTATTGTAGTTGTGTGACCTAAATGTTTATGAACAGCAATCTGATATCAACAGTGACCAAAGAAGGAACCGAGTGTGGATCAGTAAGACAAAGAGAAAGCGTAACAATTCTGTTAGCGTAAACTATTAAATATGTTATTCATTATTGCCCTTCTAACTTTCTCCTGCCAAAGTCGGTTTGTTGCTTATTGATGCCATCTGAAACACTTGTGTGTACAGTATGAATAACATAACACCAGTGTGTCTACTCCAGCTCTCTACAGTCCACATGTGCATCTTCAAAGGGTATCTGCTTAAAGAAAAACAGACACTCATATTAGAATTTGCCTCAACAAATTCATAAGTAAGAGAATTTTACTGATGTTCAAATATTTGTGCTGCAGCATCTCAAGAGCTTTATGGATTCACTCAAAAACAGGACCTAAAGCCGTGATACCCCAAACAGACAAACCAAAAATATGTTAGAACAGTCCAGCTGTGCTGCACGAAGTTTAAACACAAAAATATATACTATTCTTTTCATGAGCCAGCAGTGCAAGTATATATAGCAATAAAAACACACTCCTTTTTAAAGAATTAACTTTTAAATTTAAAGTAACTTGCAAAGAGATGTTTGGCTGATTTAGCTTAGTGTTGGCAGATTTTAATGACGTTCAAAGAAAAATGCTTAAACAAAGTACAGCCGTTTCAGCAGCAAGTGGGGCAGTCTCTTAATACCTTTCTATTTCCAAAGTCGCTCTTTTGGTGAGAGCAGCATGGAGCTTTCATGTCTTCTGAGCTTGGCTTTGAGGTGATGAGAAAATGTCAGGATAAATCACCAGCCATCTGAAGACATAAGTAATCTCAGCCATCAGAACCTGAATACGCATAATAATTAATCTGATGTTGCTAAATTATCCACTTTCATGTGTAGACATTAATACATATTAGTGTCACAGTTACCATGACCATAACATAGTTTAGACTGAAGTTAATGGTATTAAACTTTTGTGAGCAGGTTCAGTGTTTGGATATTGTAGCATATGTTTGGCTATTATAAAGTCTTCTTGGGTAAGTCTTGGGCTATTTATCACATTCTTCCTGGCAGCTCCTCTCAAGCTCCTTCAGATTTGATGGCAAGCGTCCGTGAACTGTCCGTCTCTCCACAGATGTTGTATGGGGTTTAAGTCTAGGCCACTCAAGGACAGAGAGTTATTCTGAAACCACTCCAGTGTTGTCTTGGCCATTTGCATTGGGTCATCGTCAAGTTGAAAGTTGAGGTTGCCCCAGTCTCAAGTGCTTTGTATTGTGGAGCACGGTTTTGTCAAGGACTTTATTACTGTATTCATCTTTCTCTTAATTCTGACCAGTCTCCTTGTCCCTGAAGCACCCACATGCTTCGCTGTAGTGATGGTATTAGCTAGGTGATGAGCAGGGCCTGGTGTCTGCTAGACATGGTACCTGAAGACTTCCATTTTTTTGTCTCATCAGCCCATCTCATCTTTTTGCTCATGATCCCAGGGTCCTTAAAATGTCAAACTCCAAGCAGGCTGTCATGGGCCTTTTACTCAAAGTACCTTCCCTCTAGCCCCTCTACCATAAAAGCCTGACTGATGAGAGCTGCTCAGCTGGTCGTCCTTCTGGCACGTTATAACAGCTCTGCAGAGTACTTCTGAAGCTCCGTTGGAAAACCACTGGGTTCTCGAGAACCTCCCTGATGAAGGTTCTTCTGTCCTGACCTCAGTTTGGCTTACAGCCAATTCTAGGCAGAGTTCTGGTTATTTCAAACGTCTTCCATTTCCCAGTTACTGAGGCCACTGTGCCCTATTCGAAGCTTTAGAAATGGTTTTACACCCTTGCCCTTATGTGTGCCACAGCACAATTTGCCAATTTAACAAAAAATGTTTCTCACTGTCATTTTGGGTTATTTAGTGTAAAGTCATGCGTAAAAAGTGGCAATTTATTCATCTTAAAATTTTGTTTACAACAGTCAATTGCAAATGGGATGATGTTTGAATAATGGTGTACATCCATTATTCTGTTTGTGTCATTTACATGTTCCTCAAATATAAAAATATTTAAAAAGCCATTAATTACTCAAGAAACCCATCACAAAAGACAAAACATAAATAAAGCTGGAAACAGGACTCGTCTAAGTGGAATGAACATCATTGTACCAGCCAAAGGATCATACTGACAGGAACAACAGTATGTCCTCAAACAAATGAGCCTTTTAATAACAGTTGTTTTAA